CTCGGACCCTCCTGCATCAAATAATGAGCAAGGGGATTCATTGCTACTAAGATCAATGATGACCTTTAATGATCATTAGCATTGTTCCAACTCTAATGGACAATAAATTAGAAAATCACCGTCACTTAGACTGATGATAATTCTAATAATGAATAACGTTACTTGTAACCTTGAGTAATCTTCTATAGCGCAACAGGTGCTTATGCTAAGTTTCAGTCTATGTGTCAATTAAGTAGTTGAACATCTTTGAATGAGATTCATCCCTCTTACTTTAAAATGTCCAATCACTTAATGTTGTGTGTTACGTAACATTACTTTTAACCTTTTATATGCGAAGCAAGAGAGACAAATATAAAGATACAACATGTACTAACTGTTCGATTTGACAGTTCAATCTCTCTAAACAACGTAAAATTTTGTTGTGTGTGTCACGGGAGACTTTGAAGCCTTGTGCACATATAAACTATAGAGTTGCTTGTTTTACTCTTAGGTCCAACGAGATTGATTTGAGGCATGATAATTTTAGTTTCCATTAAGTTCAATCGATCGGCTTTGATCTAAAAAGAAGTTCATTTTGACAGACTTGCCTTTCAAAAACTCTCAATTCAAGTATTGCACATTTCTTTTATCGGTATACAAGTTTCTACTTCCAATTTCCAATTATTTTTTCATGATTTTGTTAGAAAAATGATTTCTACGTGATATGCAGGTAAAAATGCACCAAATCAGGATGAATTATTTAAGCTATAAAGAAACCCGTGGGAATAATTTTAAGACATATTGACAATGATCATCTAGAGTCTGAATAATTAACTCTATTCTTTTTATGTACATAAAATGAGTTGTAGAATGTGAATAAATTTCATTAGCATTGAGATACAATACCTTATTTAGATAGGATAATGCTACCCTACCTCACTGATGCTTAGTATGGTAGTACCCGTCTATCTGGTGGCAATCGAAATTTTTTTCTTATTTTTTAACCACACATCCTCTAAAAAATCAATTTTCAAAGTGGAAATTACACCCTCACATGGTTTTTAACTTCTCAATTCAAAAATAAGACTTAAATTTTTTTTTGTTCAAAAATCAGGACATAATTCATCTATCAAATATTAATAATATTATTATAAAATTCAATTAATCTACATACCCACCCCTACTCCACCCCACCCCACACCCTACCCCTATTCATCCCGACCTATCTTCACTCCCTAGCCCTAAATCAATTCCCCCTCTTCTCTCTCTCTCCCACCCTACCCTTCCCTTCCCTTCCCTTCCCTTCCCTGCCATTGCCCTCTCTATTTTGGTGTCGCTGCATTGCAAAGTCTTGCTGTGCCAAGTGAGCGAACAGTGGCAACTCGCTTGGCACAACAAGCGCTGCTACTGCAGGAAGCAATGGTGAACCGTTGAAAGTAGCGGCGTAGCAAGGCCCCGCTGCACTTCCTTGCTCGTGCAACGATATTCGTTGGTTGTTTTTTGATCTAATTGATAGTGGGTGGTTTGTTAGTGGGTGATTTTTTATCGGATATGCTACTTAGCCTGAGTTTTAGGTTCGTTGTGGGCGTTTTGTAAATGGTGGTGGTGGTTTTTTTTCATCTATATGTGGTCTTCTTTGGGTGGGTGGTTCATTAGTGGTGATGGCGATGGTTGTGCTGCTAGCGATAATGGTGTGGTGATTCTGTTAGTAGTGGTGTAGGTGGCGATGGTGTGGTGAGACGTTTGGTTGTTGACAATGTTAGGAGTGGTGGTGCCGATCGTGCTGGAGTGTGGTGGGTGTATGTAGTGTTTGTGATCAATTATTTCGGTGATTGTAATCGATAAATAGATAATTTATAACCAATATATAATATATGACCAAAAAAATGTGAGATTGTTATGAAATTTGTAATTGTGATTCACAATATATTAAGTTATGGTTAATTAATTTAATAAATTGTGATCGTGAAATAAATTGCGACTTATAAAATTTGTGATTTATAACCAAGAATTAATATAGTCATAATTTGTAATCCAAAAATAATGTGTGATAAATTAATTTGATAATTTGTTACTGATAAATAACTTATGACTTATGAAATTTGTGATTTGTGACTATGACATTTTTTTAATTGTGGCAATAAGTAACCGTGAGCACAAATAGTATAGTACTGTGACCTTAATATATTTAATTAATAAAATTTAATTGTGACCTGATTTTTAAAATATATTTGTTAATTTTGAAATTGTATATTTTAACCACCTTAAATATGTGTTGTTTTCCTATTTTAAAATATATTTTCTTATTAAAATGGGGCTATCCTAAAGAAATTAGAGATACCGTATTTAGTTGACAAATTTCCTCCTCTTTCTTCTTTTCCCCCCTCTTCATCTATGGAACTCGACTACGTTCAATAAAGGAAAGATGAGCAATAAATACTAAAAATCGAGGGTTTCCACCATTTTCAGAGAGAAAAATAATTTCCCAATACTAATTAGGATGGAAGGAGGAGGAGGGGCGAGTAATGGAGGGATGTTGTACCACGAGGTTCAAGAGTCGAAGCTCTGTGCGGTGCATTGTGCCAACACGGTGCTGCAGGGTCCATTCTTCTCGGAGTTCGATTTGGCCGCACTGGCATCTGATCTAGACCGCACCGAGCGCCAGATGATGCTCGGTTCTGCTACTGGCGATTTCCTTCCTCACCTATCGCACAACGTTTCGCTTGATGGAGACTTCAGCATCCAGGTTTTACTCTTTCTTCTAGTTTAATTTCGCTCGGGGTTTTTTTTTTAATTCAGATAGTTTTGAGAATTTATGTGTGTTTGTGGAAAGGGAAATTTTTTTTGATAGGATAGTTTTGCTTTTTGGGTGGTAAAGAATGAATTGGTTGGATTTTATTATTGATTCGTTGAAAAAGTGAGGTTTTGATTTAAAGAAAAATTCTTACAAGTGGAAAGAATAAAAATGTTAGTTCACCATATGCTGGTTGTTTACTATTAGATTGTTTTGGACTTGAGAATTTGGAATTTTGCCTGGATTCGTTTTTGTTTTTAGCAAGATAAGATTTTGATTTTACAAGCCAAGGCTGTAACCATGAGTTCACACTGAGAAGAAAACTATCACATCAGTATGGGCTTTCTTCTGATTCTATTATTTGAAGACAAAGATACAAGGTTTTGAATTTCAAATGGAACATTTAATAGGTGCTCTCATGAAATATGCTATACGAACTCATATAACAAGGATACTCTCAATCCGTGGATGTGGGCATGTGTATGTGATGTACAGTAACTATCAGGAATGATAGGCCATAAAAAATTCACAATCACGCAAGTGCAGAAAGTAATTCCCTTGTTCTTAGGAACTGGATGTTGGTGTTTCTTGCCTACATGATTAAGAAATGAAGATTTAAAGGTTGTGAAGTTCTTTTGATTTATATAGATCTATAAATTGAGTGAATATTGTGTGATTCATTTATTTTGGTATTTGATTTTTCTATGAACTTAAAAACCATGCCTAGCACTATTAATGGATCTATAGATATGGTCAGTCTGGAGGATGCACAGGAGGCTTGTATGGAGCTCACGTTCCTCGTAGATTGGTTAAATCAATTATATCATATATGAATCTTATTGCTGCATGCTTGGTGAACCAGATTTGAGTTAAAATTATATAATTGCTTCATGTTTTTAAGTTGAAAGTTAATGTTTGCACTGGCCTGTAGAAAAGTTTTTCCTGTCAATACTGTGGGTGGGGTTTCTTTTAAAATAGGTGATCAGCAGATCTCTTATTAAGTTATTATGTATTTAATTCCATGTGAAGCTTGTACTTATCAAGTTTATAAGGTATTTTTTGAATGTTATTCTCTTTCACTTCTCACTGGACAAATGGAAGTTGTTTGCAACTGTTACTGGAAAATTCTGAAAAAAGCAAAATTGTCGGAACACATTGTGAANNNCAAAATTGTCGGAACACATTGTGAAACATTTTCATGTTTTCATTCCAAGTGTACTGGAATTAGGGTGGAGAGATCTTCCAAGATTAAAGAACTTATTTCCAATCGCTATAAGAATACTTGATTTTCGTGGTTAGTTATACACCAATTCCTGTAAGCTCATAAATTTCAGCATTTACTTTCCATCATGAATAATTTTTCTTCTTGTTCATCGTTTTTGTTCCATATTTGATACGTGACATTCTCATATCTTTTGAAGGAAAATTGTTTTAAGTGTCTTATACGACAATGATTAGCTGATTTTGCTCCTATGCAAGTCTGTATCCATATATTATTTCTCCCTTTTAGGTTAGAAAAAGAAACTAGAAGTTATTATGGGATACACTTAATTTCAGGCAATTCTTCCATAATTGTATGTCAACACGTGTATTGTACACCAAGTTATGGTAACATTAATTTTTATCCTGAAATCTGATATCTATTAGTGATTTGACAACTTTTAAAGAAAAATATTGCTACACGAGTAGTCCTACTATATGCGAGCTTAAAAGTGGGTCGTACTGGGCCTTCCTTCCATGGCCCAAGTGAGCCGTGTTAATAGGAAAAAAAATTAAAAAAAATAGAGCCTTTAGGAGTCTTTTCAAACTGGAAATAGCCCATTAATGGCCGTTAATTCCTCCCACAAATCCTCATACAACCTGCCACCTTCTAAACCCCCATCCCTGAAAACCCTGTCATCAGTCCCGTTTGCCACCCCAAGAAGGCTTATGTCTGAATTCACTTTCAAGTTTCATCTTTCTTCTTAGTCCTTGATTCTTTTGATCATTGACCATGGACAAGAGCCTCAAAAGCTCAAACTAAAGTCAACAGCAATCAGGTGAAGTATGCAGGTTTCTGCTACAGATCCTGATAGCAAGTTGTCCACAAACACTT